TTCTCAATGTGAAAAAAACAAAAATCCTCACCACTGGACCAATAAACAACATTCTTATCAATGGAGAAAAGATTGAAGTTGTCAAGGACTTTACTCTTCTTGGATCAACTATCAACACTCAGGGAAGAAGCAGTCAAGAAATCAAACGACATATTGCATTACTGCTGCACAAGACCTTTTTAAAGTGTTGAAGAGCAGATGTCAGCTTGAGGACTAAGGTGTGCCTGACCCAAGCCATGATTATTTTCTATAACCTCATTATGCATGAGAAAGCCGGACAGTGAATAGAAGACTGAAGAATTGATGCTTTTGAGTTATGGTGTTGGAGGAGAATACTCAAAGTGCCACGGGCTGCCAAGAGAACCAACAGATCTATATTGGAAGAAGTGCAGCCAGAGTGCTCCTTGGAGGCCAAGATGGCCAAACTCCATCTCTCATACTTCGGACATATTGTCAGGAGGGACCAGTCGCTGGAGGAGGATATCATGTTTGGTAAAGTGGAGGGTCAGAGAAGAAGACCCCATAACGAAATGGATTGGCCAAGTGGCAGCATTGATGGGCTCAAGCGTGGCAACAATAGTGAGGTTAGCCCGGGATCAGGCAGTGTTTTGTTCTGCTGTGCATAAGGTCGCTATGAGTCGGTGCCGACTTGATGGCACCTAACCTCCTCACTCTGACCACTCCCAAGCCCCTGGATGTAATACCAGCAAGGATCAGGCAGTGCTTTGTTCTGCTGTGCATAAGGTCGCTATGAGTCGGTGCCGACTTGATGGCACCTAACCTCACTCTGACCACTCCCAGGTCCCTGGATGTAACACCAGCCCCCTAGAACCTCACCAGGTGTGACCTGCACTCAGCTACTAATCAAAAGGATAGTGGTTCAAACCCACTCAGTGTGCCAGTCCGACGACCACTGAAAACCCCTGGAGCGGCGGGAGTTGGAATTGACTCAGTGACCCTGTGCTTGGCTTTTTAGTCACCTCACTGGACAGGACTCCCTCTAGTTAGCAAACTCTCACCACAAGTGTTGCCCATTTATCCATAGTGTGGCCACCAGCCCTCCTGCATTCATCTGGGAGTGCAGCTCTCTGTAAGTGTGCTTTCTCCACAGCAGAGATTCGTCAACCCCAGCTGATGAACAGGGGCCCGGAGCTTCGGCAACAGCATGGAGTTCAGGGTGCGACCTCACCATTTACTAGCCAGGTGGTCTCAGTCTGACCTGGAGGACCTGCCCTGCAGGGTCAGCAGGAGAGCTGACTTGGTCTGCAGCAGCAGATCCCAGTAAGAGCACATGCTCACTGACTTCTTGGTTGTCCCGACACTTCACCCCACCCATTCCTTCATGTGACGTCTCACTGCCCTGGGGTTCAGGAAGGTCAGGCGTGGCCTCTGGGTTGGCTCATCACAGCCTTAGCCTGCACGCCATCTGGGGAAGGCAGGAGAGCAGGCACGGAGGCCTCAGAGCCCAGACTACATTCCATCCCTGGAAGGACTTAATTCTAGCCTATCCAGGGAATGTCGGCCTGGCCCTTTAACTCTCTTAACAAAGCGACAGGGACCCCTTGGTTTAGAAGAGTTTAATGTGTGCTGTCGGCACTGGACTCTGCAGAGTACTGATACAGCCCCCTGAGAGCACCCCTGGTGCCCCGCACGAAAAGAGGATGGGGGCGACTATTCAGACAGGGAAGTTAAGTGAGAAGGAGTTGTGCACTTGGCCTTAGGAGGAGAGAAGAAGGGAGGAGATGGTGGTGAGGAAGGGCGATGGGGCCACACCCATGGGATGCTAACTCTTCAGTGGGACAGGGGCTCAGATGCTGGCCACCGACTTTCCCTGGGGACAGCCCTGATGGGAGAGCAGCTGCTCCAGACTGCCTCCTTTGTGTGGTGAGCCCTTTCCAGCTGGCAGCCAACCCTCAGCACCTGCAAGCCAAGCCACAGGAGTTCTAAATCAGGTCCCAGGTGTGTGCTCTGTCTGGCAGTCCTTAGGCCAGGAGAGATCGTGGGAGGGCTGTGGCCAAGCTGGTCTCTGTCCCCAGTGTTGCTTAGGGCCACTGGCTGACTGACCATCATTCCAGCTGCCCCATCACTGCTGCTGTGACAGCCACTTGGGTAGAAGGCAACTGTGCTGAATACCACTCGCCTTTGTCCTCTACACACATGTGCACATTGAAGGGCAGGCAGGTGCGGTACAGAAGGATGACTCAGATGCCTTGCTCGAAAATTGTGAAGAGAACTTTTTCCTGGGTTATAAGCAAAAGGAAGACAGACAAAGACAGAGTATCTTCAGAGGCAGCTCCCCAGATGCACACTACTCTCAGATCCCACATCTTCCTCCCCTTCTGGCTGAATCCCACCACAAGTCCACAAAAATCACTAGTTCACCGGAAAGGACCAGAGGCACAGGGCCAGGGACCTGAAGATGGCTGGCTTTAGCACTTAAGACTATGAGGTGGCACCAATCACAGGCACACTTAGCTGGTTCCATGCCGCCAGTCTGGGGCTGGATGGGGGGCACAGGTAGTTCCCCTCCCACCCCTCAGGACTTCCAGGCCTGACCAGGTAGCTTCAGGACAGTTAGCTATTGTACAAGGGCACCACGCGGGTGATCTCCTGTCTGCAGATGGGGCATCTCCTGGGCTCTGGCAAAGCGCGGTAGCACTCGGTGCAGGAACAGACATGGCCGCACTCGAGAAAGACACAGGACTTGAAGCTGCTCAGACACACCACACAGGCACTCTTCAGACTCTCCCTGTCCTCGGGCGGCACTCGGCTCAGCAGCTGGGCCTCCTGCTCCTGGAACTCCTCCTGCATCTGCTTGAGACGCAGCCGCTCCTGTCGCTGCAGGTACTGCTTGCGGAGGATGAAGAAGAGGGTGGCACAGGCGGCAAAGCCGAACACCAGCGTCAGGACCTTCCAGAGTCGGACGCTGGACTCCTGGCTCTGCAGCAGGCTGTCAAAGTCCTGGCTGCTCAGGTAGTACTGCATGCCCTGCTTGGGGGGCTGCAGGCGGATGGAGTTGTTGTCCAGGACCAGTTCACCCACCCCTGTGAGGGGGGCCCCGACCTTCAGCATCTCCTCTGTCTCCTGGATGCCTTTGGGCCGCTCACCGCTAATGTAATGGCCGATGACATCCGTGAAAGACTGGACCGATGGGTGGAACTTCTGGTACACAGTCTCCAGACCCAGATCTACCGAGTCCAGGGGCTTCAGCACTCGGACGGCCACGTCCACTCCATCCTCGTGCGGCACCAGGTCAAAGGGCACTGTGTTGGTTCTCTGGTGGATAATCTTTGAATAGTCATTCCTGTGAGACCAGGAGAACTCAGATCAAACAAGACGGTAAACACCAGTCACCCAAATGCCCAGAGGGCAGAATAAAGTCAGGACTACCAACTACAAGCCCCCACAAAACAAATCGCTATTATCCAACTACCCTAGAATAGGGCCACTCAATTCTTCAGGTCCTCAAGCGCTATCAGTGGCACCCCAAATACTGTCAGAAGTCACCTGCATCACTATTTCCCTTTGCCACCGTACAATAAGACTCCAAAACAAAACCACTAGAACTAGTTGGTACTGCTTGTTACAGCACACAATTATCTTAATAAATCCACACCCCACTGTAGGAGCGCTGGAAGGATAGTGGAGTATGAGCTAGGCTGCTAACTGCAAAGCCAGCCGTTAGAATCCACCAGTTGCTTCAAGGGACAAAGATGAGGCTTTCTGACCCCGTAAAAATGTACAGTCTCAGAAACCCTATGTGGGGTCGCTAGTGGTCAGATTCAGCTCGCTGGCATAACCACCACTACCCAGTAAACCCCAATGCTTCTCAAACTTTCTTGTGTATAAAAATCAACAGGGCTATGGTTCCAAAACACAGACTTTGGGTTCCCACATCTTGGAAATTTGTATTCTGGAGGTCTGGAATGGAACCCAGGAAGACGAGCTGTAAGAAGCTGCCTGGGAAATTCTGAAGGAGGAGGTCCTCAGACCACACACTAAGAATATGAGCAGCCTGGAGGGGCCGTTTCAGGCAAAGTTGAAGGCATCCCAACCATGCCCAGAAACACCAGCACTTGAACAGGTCAGCTCTGAGTTTGCTGGCTAGTAAAGAATACTCGCCAAAGGTTGGTTGTTCGATTCCACACCATCTTGTGCTCCTGAAGGGTCAGACGCTGAATCACTCCCTTGCAATTTTCCACAAATTGGCTGTTGAGTGTTTCTTTAACGGATCGCACGGCTCCTAAGTGGAAACAAATTGTGTTATTTCTGAAGAATGTCTCTGCCCACTCCCCTATGGTTGATTAACTTCTGATTTTACCTTGCATGAATTTATTTACTAAAATAAAGTTTTTATCATCCTAAATTACATTTGGGAAGTACTCTGCAAAGCACTTTACATGAATTACATCACTGAAGTCTTAAAAACTCTGTAAGATGGGTATTATTTTAGAGTAACAACAGTTCAGAAAGGTTAGGTAATTTCCGCAGGACTACACAGCAATATCTAGGCATTTCTAATCCCAAAGCCCATGTTCTGGACTACTGCCCCATTGCCACAAAAGACCCTAATGCCAGTCAAGCAGATTTTTACCAAACTTTTGGGAGAAGGGATCGGTTTTTATTTTCCCAATAAGCAAACATACCTTCAATAACAGCATAAGGCACACATTTTCCTGGGGCTTCCAAAAGAATACTCTTTAGATCTTCACCCAAGTGGACTTTTTTAGCTCCCTAAATGCAAATAGCATAATAAATGAACTGTTGAGTACTGAAATGCTCAATCAAACTTAAAGGGCACAAAAAGACAGACTGTGAACTTTGTTCATGTGGAGAAAATGAAGGAAGTGGGCAGGAGGACTATGGAGACTCAGATTCCACAGCTGTGGTCTAAAGTGTTAAAGCCTCAACAGGCACGGGGCAGGGGTCTAAAGTGTTAAAGCCTCAACAGGCCTCAGCTCGCTTGCATCATGGGAAAATGGTGTCACCTCCCTTCTTTCTCCAAGTCAGTGAAACAAATACACCTCTGAATTTTAACCTTTTCTTTTTTTTTTTTTAATATAAAAGGTACTTATCAATTTGCTCTCTTCATTCTACAGACTGAAAATTATTTCATTTCTTGATCACACAGTCATAGATCCACAGGATTTATGTATAAATTACCTAATTTAATGCCTAGTGTATGGCAGGGGCTTGAAAGATGAAAGGTATTCTTACCACCACCTTCCTGCTTTGTTATTAATAAAGGAATGCTTTTGTTTTGTTAGGACAAGTCTGTTAACTGGGGCCAGACACTTTCTTTTTCTACTTTTTCATGTCTTTCTTCCTGCTCACAATCAAGTGAGTAGTTACTTCTGCTGCTGTTGTCCTCTAGTAAGCCCTTGTTTCCAACACCCTTTAACAATGCATAGTTCCCAACCTGTAGTACTTGGAAATTCTTGTTATTGTTAAGTGTCGTCAAGTCAGTTACAACTCAGAGCGACCCTGTATCGGATTTTCAAGGAGCTGGTGTGTTCCAACCGCTGGCCTTACTGTTAGTACTTCAGTACATATGCTACAGCGCCCCACCAGGATTCCCCAACCAAAATCGTTAATAAAATTGACATGCATTTCCTGAGCATGTCTGCTAGGAACTGTGCTGTGTGCCAGGGATAGGGATTCAGGGACAGCCTGTAGCGAGACAGCCCCTATTTTCCCTCAATTCCCATCAACAAATCTTAAGAACGCCAGAGCAGTAACCTCTAATTAGGTGCTGAAATGCTGAATACACATGCAGGGCTTCAAAAAGTTCATGGGCAAATTCCATTATCTTTTCATTCCATTTTTCTGTGAATTTTGAGACAGGCCCCCTGCCCCTCCCCCCATATTTAAGGTCATTCTTAAGTTTAAGTTAAGGAACTGTAAAGGCTCAACAGTGAAGAATCTGGCTGCTAACTGAAAGGTTTGGTGGTTTGAACCCACCCTGAGTCATCATAGGACACAGACCTGGCAATCTGCTTCTATAGAGGATACAGCTAGGAAAATCCTATGGGACAGTTCTACTTTGTCACATGGGGTCACTATAAGTCATAAGACAACAAGTGTAAGTTATTCCAACACAGTAAATGACAAGCACACAGTCATTAAAAACTTATTAACCACCTACACTGTAAACATAATTTTAAAAACAGCAACTAACACAATTTATTCACTTATTATCTGTCTCCCTCTGCTGCTCGGCTAGGATCTTGTTTTGCCTTGTCACAGCTGTACCTTTCAGGTCAGGAACACAGCCTGACATGTAGCAGGCGCACAATAAATACATGATGAGTAAGTAGGCACTTATCTGTACCTGGTACTATGTAAAGCACTTTCCATGCATCTCTGGCTCCTAACATTTCTATAAGGTAGGCATTATGATCGTCTCCAGTTTCAGGAAGATTTTTAAGTAGCAAAGAGCTGAGTGTTTCAGCAGCTGGGTTTAATCCAGGGTCTCTGCGCTTGCTGGTCCCCTATTTATGTGCATGGCCCTCATCTTCATCTCTTCCTGAATTCTGGGTTAATGTTACCTTAGCTAAAATAGCAAATCCCCTCTCTCTAGCATTCCCTTTGCCCTCTGCCCCGCATTACTCTCTAGTATTTGTTACTGCCATACCAAATGATTAACATGATCTTGTCTGCCTGCCGTACAAAGTGCTACCCCCATGAAAGCAGGGCTTTTGATCTGTTCTACTCATTGCTGTACCTTCCTGGCACGTATTAGTTGTTCAATAAATATTTGCTTTAGAAATTAATGAAATCAAGATTCATTCTGAATAATGAAAGGCACTTCAGAACACACGGGCGGGCACGATCCTAACTCCTTCCTTTACGGGCCGGATGGCACAGTCTAGTTCCTCTTTTGTCGTTTCTGGCTGTGGAGCGCTCCGAGGGGACTCGTGGGCTCCACATTACCGGGCGCCGAGACGACTGGACTGAGGCCAGTCGGGCCCCAGCACTGACCTTGAGTTCATGAGCGACCTGGGCCTTGTGTCGGTACACGGAGTAGAGGATAGCGGTGACGACAGAGCTGGTGCCTAGGAGGATGGCCTGGCACAGCGAGGGCCGCCCCCCGCTCTCCATGGCCGCTCCCAGCACTGGGTGCAACCGGCGACGCTGAGCTTTGGGCCCACTACGACCCCGACTCGCCACTTCCCTCCACTCTCCACCCTAAGGCCCTTCTCGGAAACCTAGGGAGCGTCGCCCGGTGATGCCGCAAGACGTCGGAACCGGAAGTGAAAGCGGACAAAGCGGACAGGAAAGCAGGCTACCAGGGTGTCAGCTGACCTTGGAGGGTGGAGTTTCCACTGCTAGGTCTTATCGTTAGGTAGTGTCCAAGTGGTTGCAACTAATCGCTGTGGGTCGGGACCGACTCAGCGGCACTTAAGAAGAACAAAAACTAATAGCGACCCCGGTGCACACTGGAAAGAAATGCTGTTCCGAATCCTTGCTGTTTGAGCCCACTGTTGCAGCCCTGTGTCTATCCATCTTGTTGAGGGTCTTCCTCTTTTTCACTGACTTTTGACTGTGCTGTAAGGAGCTCTGGTAGCGTAGTGGTTACCAGTCGCCCTGGCTTTCTGCTTTCGTAAAGATTACAGCCTCGGAAACCCTATGCAGGGTCGCTATGCGTCGGAACCACCTCCACGGCACACCACCACCACCTATGCATGATGTCCTTCTCTAGGGACTGATCCCTCCTGATAACATGTCCAACATTTGTGAGACAAATGTTGCCAACAAATGTTGCCATCCTCGCACCCTACTTCTTCCAACACAGATTTGTCAATTCTAGCAGTTCGTGATATATTTAATATTCTTCACCAACACAGTAATTCAAAGGCATAAATTCTTTTTCACTCTTCCTTATTCGTTGTCCAGCTTTGACGTACACCTGAGGCAATTAAAATACTATGGCTTGGATCAGTGCACCTTAATCTTCAAAGTGACATCTTTGCTTTTTAACACTTTGAAGAGATCTTTTGCAGCACATTTACCCCAAGCATTAGCCTTTTGATTTCCTGACTGCTGCTTCTATGGGCGTTTTGCAGAGCTGATAAATCGCCTACTTGTCTGTGACTCTGTTGTCTTCCACCCAAGTCTCACCAACTGTAGCCACCTCATCTGCATCTCACAGGCCTTCATCCCTCTGGTTTCTTGGAGTTTGTGGGTTGTTTGATGTCTCATCTGCCTCTGCCATTAGATTGGAAGAAAAGAACAGAATGAATGTGTACTGAACACTTATGTGTGCTTGGTTCTACACATTTAATCTTCAGGACAAGCCTTGAGACTTGTATTTTATTCTGTCCTCTTTGCAGATGAGAAAAGTGAGGTCAGAGAAGTTAAGGAACTTGCTAAAAGTCATATTGCTAGTGAGCGCTAGGAATTTACTTCTACTCCAAGAGTCACCAACGTAGCCCCTTAATCTGCTACCACCAATATAACCACATATTGTTTACTAAGTAATATTTATAGCTACATGTATTGAATGCATATTACATGTCAGGTGTTGTTGGTTCCAACTCATAGCGACCTAGTGTAGGGTTTCCAAGGAACAGCTGGTGGGTTTGAACTGCTGACCTTGTGACTTGCACTTCAGTGCTGATCCTACAGCGTCACACCAGGAGTCCTTATGTGAGGTTGTTGTTGTTGTTAAGTGCCGTCTAGTCGGTTCCAACTCATAATGACCCTGTATAGGGTTGCAAGCATCACCCCAGAGATAGTTCTATGACCTCTATAGGATATCTCCTTCCTAAAATAACCAGAAGTACCCCAAAATTGTCCTGGTATGGTGCTGTAAGATCAGCACTAGGCTGCTAACTACAAGGTTGTTGTTGTTGTTGTTGTTGTTGTTAAGTGCCGTCAAGTTGGTTCCAACCCATAGCGACCCTGTATAAGGTTTCCCAGGAGCAACTGGTGAGCTTGAACCACCGACATTGCAGTTCAAGCGGCTTTGCAGTCTGGCGCCTTAACCCACAATGCCACACCAGGACTACAAGGTAGATGGTTCAAATCCATCAGTCGCTCCTTGGAACCCCTACACAGAATTGCTAGGAGTCAGAACTGAACCCTTCCGCCCCCAAATTGTATCCATAACATCAAAACTGTTGTGCACATGATCACTGAGCTGCCTCATACAGTTTATGCTTCAATTTCTTGAAAGTACTGGATGTATCCATTAAGCAAAATTAATGTATGTTTGTTGTTGTTTAGTACCGTCAAGTCAGTTCTGACTCATAGCAACCTTGAGAGGGTTTCCAAGAAGCGGCTAGTAAGTTTAAACCATCGACCTTGTGGTTCAGTGTTTATCCTACAGCACCACACCAGGACTCCTGTGTATGTGTAAAAAGGTTTAAATATTGCAGATTGCCCCACAAACTTAAAATCCATTTATTAAAGCAGTTGGACATACATGACACTCCTCTACCCCGTGCCTTAAACATCCTTGGACTCAAACAAGAAGGACTTTCTATGACCACAGAGTTAGAAGTCCTGGAGTGTCAATACCTCAGGATATCAGTGATGGTTTGCATCTTCAGGAATTATTGTGAATTTGTTTAAATATACATACATGGGTTCAAAATGAGGTGTAACTTTACATTTTGAATGGTGTTTGCTATAAAGTTTGATAAGACATTGTACTGATAAGGGTGTGGGGAAATCTCACACATTGCTTGCAGGTATAAAGTGGATGTTATTTATAGAGAATAACTGGGTCATGTTAATCAAGATTAAGGAGTCCTGGTGTGGCGCTCTAGGATAAGCACTGGACTGCTAAATCACAAGGTTGGCGGTTCAAACCCACCAGCCACTCCTCAGAAACCCTATACAGGGTCACTATGAGTCAGAACCAACTCCATGACACTTAACAACAGGAACAATCAAGATTTAAAGGTATACACATCATTGACCAATTCTAGAAATGCTTCCTACAGGAATACTCTTCATCTAGTCCAATTAGAAATTCTACCTACAGGAATACTCTCATATGAAAAATGATTTGTTGTACCATTGTTTTTAATCACCAAAGAATGAAAACAGCCTAGATGTTATCAATAGTCAATTGGTTAAGTAAACATTAAAAATATGTCCATGTGTGCATGTTATTGTTAAGTGCCATCAAGTCGATTCCAACTCTCAGTGACTCTATATAGAGTTTCTGAAGAGCAGCTGGTGGATTTGAACAAATGACCTTGTGGTTAGCAGTCCAGTGCTTACCCTATTGCACCACACTAGGACTATGTATGTGTACATGGTTGACGGTTATGTGCTGTGGAGTAAGTTCAACTCATAGGGTTTCCGAGGCTGTAAATCTTTATGGAAGTAGAAAGCTTCATCTTTCTCCCTCAGAGCAGTTGGTGGATTTGAACTGCTGACCTTGAGGTTAGCAGCCCAACATGTAACTCACTATGCCAACCAAAGCCCCTTATGTGTGCATTGTTGTTGTTAAGTGCTGTGAAGTTGGTTCCTACCCATAGTGACCCTGTATAGGGTTTCCAAGGAGCAGCTGGTGAGCTTGAACCTTGCGGTTCAAAGCAACGTTGCAGTCCAGTGCATCAACCCACAGTGCCACACCAGGACTCCTATGTGTGCATAATAAAGTGAAAAAAGCAAACTGCAAAATCGTTTGAATACGATGCTATTTATTTTCAAAAGACAGGGGACCAATATATATTTGATTGCATATCTCTGGAAATATTCACACACACCAAAAACCAACCCCAAACAACTATAAACGTCGGTTGTTTCCATGGAAGGGAACTGGATAGCTAGGAAACAGGGAAGGTGACTTTTCACTCTTCTCTACTTTTTAAAATGTGAATGTATGGTATATTCCAAATTACAAAAACTTGAATTTTAAAAACGAAAGAGCACTCTTTTCATGCCACAACCAACAATTATCTTCAGGGTCCCAGGCTTTGGGTTGGGCATTGCTGTTGTTAAGTGCTGTCAAGTTGGTTCCAACTCAGTTACCCTGTACAGGGTTTCTGAGAAGCAGCTGTGCCGACTTTTTGGTTCGCAGTCCAGTGCCATTCCTACAGCACCACACCAGAAGTCTCGGGTTGAACATTAAGAGATACCATATATATCCATGGAGTCTTGGGGTGGCATTGTAGAATCAGCACTGGACTGTGAAACACAAGGTCAGCAGTTCAAACCCACCAGCTGCTTCCCGAAAACCATATGCAGGGTCGCTGTGAGTCAGTACCGACTCTACAATGGCACTTAATGACAAATACGTACATATAGGTTCTGCTTTTGGGCTGTTTGATCCTGTGGGGAGGATATGGGTCTAGTCACCTATTGTTGTTGTTGTTAAATGCCATCGAGTCAGTTTAGACTCATGGCGACCCTGTATAGGGTTTCCCAGGAAAGGCCGGTGGATTTGAAAAGTTGACCTTACAGTTCACACCAACCTTGTGGTCCAGTTCTTAGCCTACAGCGCCACACTAGGACTCCTTTCCCAGGGCAAATGGAATTAGGGCAAGCAAAGTACCACTCGCAGACAGTAGAGGGAGCTCTTCATTCTCATTAACCCCACTGCCATGGAATCTCCCTATACAGTATTTCAGAAACTCAATCTTTATGGGAACCGACAGCTGCATCTTTCTACTGGGGGGGGGGGGGCGGCCAGCAGTGGGTTTGAACTACCTTATGGTTAACAGTCCCGGACTTATCCTACAGTGCCACCAAAAAAGAATTCAAGTGCTGCAAATAGAATGGGGTAAACATGAGCGGCGCAAAACGCAAATGTGCTCGCTGCTAGTAGAAAGGCTAGCAGTTTGAGTCCTCCCAAAGGTGCCTCTCCACCTGTCCGTTTGTCGTACTGTGGTGACTTGTAAGTTGCTGTGATTCTGGAAGCTATGACACCAGTATTTTAAATACCAGCAGGGTCATCCATGGTGGACAGGTTTCAGATGAGCTTCCAGATGAAGACAGACTAGGAAGAAAGAGTGACCAACTACCTCCAAATATTTAGTCACCGAAAACCTTATGAATAGCAGAGAAATACTGTCAGATATAGTGCCAAAAATGAGCTCCTCAGGTTGGAAAACACTCAAAATGCAACTAGGGAAGAGCTGCCT